CGCTAATTTACTCAAAATTGATACACCCCGGCTTACCATCTAGCGGAAGGTTTCGGAAAGGTGAAAAAACATATATTTAATACTTGCGCCGGGTATTTAATGTTCGGCTCCGCCCGAACTTAGACTTTCTTACTTGTTCATTTTTATGTTGGTCGTAAACTGGGCTTGAACCCGCAATGGTAGTGCGCACCTCTAACCACTACACTACAGCGGACGCCTGGTATGATGAATACTTGCCCGAATATTGGAATATCAGTAAACTTTGTCCAACGCAGACAAGACCTGTCGACGATACTGTGAGAAAGACTGAAACCCTTTACGAACCAACTGATTGGACCTGTCACCATCGAATAAACAGTGAGTTAGGTGTTTGCAAATTATTTTTATTTGCAAATAGCTTACGTATAAACGTAATAACTGTTTCTTTGTTTCGCTTTTGCTTTGACTTTTCGTTTCAAATTCATTGGAAAATTTGAGCGATAATTTCCAATAATTGTGATTTTGTAAGTAAATTTTTGGTAAAATTGTATATAATTACATATCCAACAGATTATTGGACCAGCGCCTCGGATGGCTACGATAATGCACTTTGGTTTAACAATTTAAACGCATAATTGATAATAATGATAGAATTCAGAAATGTAATTTTAAAATGCTAACGAAAATACTGGTCGCAATAAAATTCCCTTTAAAGTTAAGATATTTAAAAACTAAGTACGCATATACATGTACTTCAGGACTTCAGGAAAAAATACAAATAAAACTCCATGCCGGCTAATATGTCATTTTTAGTAGAATTTAAGAATAATTAAATAAAGAGAACGGTATAATTTAATTTGTTTTAATATGAATAAATGAAAGACGGAAAATAGTCCTTATTTTTCAAGTTTTAACCATCATCATATGTGTGTGGTACGACCGTGTGGCCTTTAAGTTTTACAAATATTAATTTTAAGGTAGAAAAATATAACTGAATGATAATTATTAAAATCAATATATTTGATCGAAAAAAGAAAAACTAAGTAATAATAATTTCTTTCGAGCGAAAAAATTAAACTGTTATTATACTGATTTACAGAAAAAATATTTTATTGATGCAAGCTTCATTTAACTGGTGTGGGGTCCACTGATATATGTATGTATTGGAAATAGTACACAAAAAGAAGTAAAAATAATCCTAATCTTTTCGCCCTTTTTCTACTACCCGAAAATGCATGGCCGCAATTGGCATGCAGAAAAAGTGAGGTTATGTAAGTGACATCACCAAGGCACATTAAACAGGTAGTATCAGTAGAGCAAAAACAACATTTGCGTGTATTTTGTTGTTGCTTCTGGTATCGAAAGTGTCAAAAACTGTTCTGAATTTTTTCTTCTAAATCAAAGCGTGCCATGTGAAATACAAAAAATTATAAAAAATAAAAAATTGAAATTGGAAAAAATAAAAATTGATGCAACTTTCTTTCCTAGTAAGTTTGATCCATCCTGCCGAGTGCTGCCGAGTTGGGCGAACGTTCCAAAAGCTGCTACTCAATCGCTTGTTTTGTATGGGAAAAGGTTTCACATGCAAATGGATTTTAACAATTCAGAATTTTTGTGAGAAAAAATTAAAAATATTTGACATTTTCGAGACCAAATAATTTGAAAATAAATCAAATCAGCTGCTCTACTGATACTACCTGTTCAATGTACCTTGGACATCACCTTATATTTATTTCAGCATGATTAAACCTATAGAATGTGAAAACGTTGGGTTGTCTATTTTTTCCTGGCCTACCTATCGGGTTGGCAGCTATGAACAGGTAGGTAATACTAGAAATTTTCACTTATCTGTTTTATAGGCGACATACACAGTGCGTGTGACTTGCGAGTCATTTGTGTACGTGTTGACTCCCCTTCGACTACAAACAGTTGAATCATTCAGAGGCATGCCGGGAGCCATGTCGGTGTAACTAACACACGAAAAAAATGAAAGTCCCATATAATATTATGAGAAATAATTTACATTTTAAAATAATCGTCCCGCGAGACGAAAACAACTTTTCCATTGTTCAGTAATAACACTATACGACAGTCAAAATCGGGATGTGATGAAACCAACGGGAAATGTTATATCGGTCAAAAACAACTTATACGTGTCCCGGCGTTTCGCTGGGTCACGTCTAGGAATCGAGATATATATATAACTATCATATAGGGGAAATTGTCACCTTTGGTGGTCTTTTTTTGACATAACTCGAGAACCACTAGTCCGATTTTGCTCGAACAAATTAAAAAAAATTAAAAATTACAATTTCTTTAATATGTTCATATAACGTTTTTCTATATAATCAATAGTTTTGCCGGTAAAAATAAATGTATGAAGAAAAAAAATATTTTTTGCCTAAAATATTAATTTTTTTTTAACTGTTGTTTACGCCCACTTTCCACTTCCAAAAATAAACGTGTAAAAAACGTTACAAACGTATGTTGTGTTGCTTTAAAACATTCCACTTCGCTGGGTTTTGTATTCTAGCAGCTGAAGGAACGTATACTAAAATTTTCCGACATGTGCTCACGATTTAAGAAAAAAATTCCAAGTTTGTGAGAATTGCCCATATATTTTTTAAACAGAGAAAATGATGATTGCCCTTGTAAAACTATTTTTTTAAACGTCAATATAAGTTGACCTAATACACTTACCCAACCATATTATGTGCATATAATGGTATTACATCCTTTAGCAGAGCTTCTGTGTTGCGGTCTATGTCCAAATGCAGTACGGCAAAAACAATATCCAATGTTTTCATCATGTCCTTTCGAAAAAAATAAAAATAGGAAATCTATAAACAACAATATTCGGAGAGAGTATTCATATGCATGAATTGGCGGTAAGTGGAAGATTGTTCTACTAGAATATTCAGAATGCAAATGCGCCAATTTTTAAGAGTACTTCGCAGCTGCTAAAGCTCTAATTTTTTCAAAAACATGCGGGGCAAAATTTGTCAAGTGTACCAGGAAAAACATTTTATGACAGCATTTTGTTCCAACTCCACCACGTTGTTGCTATGCTTACTAATTAACCAGTGTGTAAATAAATTTTTTTCCTACCGCGGTTTTTTGTCGAGTTATACGAGTTTAAACATGCAAATTTCTGCCTTTTTTCTCAGTCACGAGTTTTCTTAAAATTCTTATCTCATATCACACTTATGATAGATAATCAAAAATTGCTGACCTAATAAAACTTTTTCCGTGATTTTTGGCGAAACTATAATTTGTTGCTACAAATTTTTTTTTCCAAAAGATTTTTATTGCATTTTTTAAGCAATGTACCATTTTTTCGCAAATGACTTATTTCGATAGCATATTTTCTAAGTTTAAAAAGTGCACTCACTTTATTACAATTTTCTTTGGATGCAGTTAGCCAACTGCAAAACTTTTGTATGAGTTTTTATGAAGAATTTTCCGTTGAATCCGAAATCAGAGCAGACAAAGGTGTACCAGTTTTTGTGATTTATCCAAACTTCGCAATTTTCTTTGGATGTAGTTGGCCAACCGCGACATTATGATTTTTATGAAGAATTTTTCGCTGAATCCGAATACGAAATCAGAATGCAAGAAAGTATACAACTTTTTGAGATATTGCCAAATTTCGGGTTTTTGAGATCAGAAAAAGAGTGCACTCACTTGATTGGAATTTTTTTTGGATGTAGTTGGCCAATCTTAAATTTATTTTTTGTATTTGTAAAGGCTATTAAATTTGCTACCATATGCGTCAACACGGTTATCCAACTGGATAAGCAATTTAGGACTTGAAGCGACTTTAGCCGACTTGAACTCAGCGAACATTCTCTATTTTTTGTGCTACATAAAGTGCACTCTAACCTAACATTACTCCAAGGTGTTGCTCCAAGTGTACACAACGATTGAGAGCGTTCGCCGATCTAAACAGGTCTAAATGCCGAAACAACAGCCCTCTTTCGGGTTGTTGATGTTGTTGTAGCGGTTCGGATGGGGATCGTTCCGGTTACATGGACCCGGCTGTAGTGGGAACGTGGCAAGACGTACGGGGCCCCGCTAACTGGCTAACAATATTCATCACTCATTGTACAATGTGTTGAATCTTGGTTTTTGCCTATGGATTTTCACTACGGTAGGCTTTAATGTCAAAGATCTTAATGCTATTACAAAACGGATTTGGCACTGCCCGGCAGTCAGGTCTACGTAACCGGAACGACGCAGATTCATAACTGGCAAAGGACTGTCACTATAGCATCATTCCCCAAAACTTCTTTGGGGAATTTGTATGCTGTTACCATAACAACCACCAAACGGATTTGGCATTTTGTACATTCCTCTTCTGTTCATCTGTTCTGGTACAAAATCAATTTTCAAGGCTTTTCTTTTCTACTTACGTATACACATAAAAATTGCTATGGGGTATTCTAAATTAATTCGTGGTTGGTTTAAACATATGTGTTTTTCACTCATCAGTTGTCCCACACCAAAATTCAACTTACCTTCGAATACTTGCAATTGAGTATTTCTTGTACCAACTGCCTCGTCAGCCATGCTGGACCACCAGACTGCAATAAAGACTCCAACACTTGCGCAGACATAACCGGTAACCAGCCATGATCTGTCACCGTTTTCCACACTTCTCGAAATTGATCAGAAAGTGGAGTCTGCGATACGAGATTCTGTGTGAGTGTTATGCTACGTGATTTTGTGTTACCCGATGGATGTACATCTTGCTGCATTTTGCGTATAATTTGAAAAGACAAGCCCAGCCGCTCTTTAACATTTTCCTGAGAAGCCATCTCTTCACTGCTGAGTGGAGTCAAAAACTGTTGAATCATATTCAATGGCTTCAGAAGTTCATTTTCACGCACTGAATACATATAAGCGCATAAGAACGAAGTAGCACAAACGGAGAAAGCAAACATTCTGCGTTTTATATTCTCCAAAATACTTTTGACATCAGTCGATGTGAGTATGTCTTTTTCCCATGCGATCAACACATGGTTAAGGACGCCGGGCAGATTTAAACAAATATCTTGCCAAGTCAGATTACTGAACAAAAGTTACAAAATCATTTTTTTATTAAACACAAAATTTTAAATATACATATATTACAAATTACCTATTCTTATGTTGCGCTTCTGGACTCCGTAGGCTTAACAATAGCTCATCCACAATTTGTTCATCGCAGAGGGCAATCATGTTGCGAGGATTCTTAGGCTTATTACGTTCCGCCATGCACTCGCGCACCCATTTCTCGAAGAAAGAGTCACCATGCTCGGATAATACCACCTGTAAATTATAGCATTTTTAATGCCTAATTTTAGCTAATAACTCATATACGCTTACATCTGATCCATAGGTTTGTACAATAAAAGTCAGCATTAAGAAAGACACATCGAACAGTGTTGATCGTATGATCGACGGTTTACCAATTTCGCCTGGAACTTGCTTGGAATTTTCATTACATTGTATCAAACGGGTAACGAAAGTTTTTAGGCGGCCTTCTACTGTGGCCACTGACAAAATTAAGTCGAAACTGTTACCTGTTTTTATAAATAAAGATATATTAAAAATATAATGGTATATGTCCGATTTTAATTTATGTACCAACTAAAACTTGGCAGAGTACACCTAACAACGCCTCCTGAACTTTGTTGTAATCGGTGCTTAATGTTTTGAGAACACCTGACAATGGAACTTCAGCACGTATTATGAAATTGATGATTGAAAGAGCCTGGTTTCCTGATTCTCGTTTCTGCAGCATGAGCGAAGTACTCTCACTGAAATGTTTTTTTATGAAAATAAGGAAGTATTAACTTTTATAAACTTAGGAAGATATTTCTTGCTTCTTCAAAAAAAAAATAAATATAGAAAAAACACAATGTAAAGGTTTGATAACTAGCCCAAACATGTACATAACGAGGGCTTATATTCAATACCCTGTAACTACAATTTTGATGAAAATGAGTTTTTGANCTACATAACGAGGGCTTATATTCAATACCCTCTAACTACAATTTTGATGAAAATGAGTTTTTGATGGTAACGTGAGCTCTTATTTATCCTTCAACCATGACAATAATGCCAACCTTAAAATTTTGCTTTTATGGTATTATATTCTCATTTTGAAAGATCCACTATCTGCAATAACATTTTGTTACAAAAGCAAAATCCTCTATCTACACAATTTTGCTTCATTACCATTTTTTGTGGCAGGTAAAATAAAGACTGGGTAAGTTAAATGTGCCGATGCATGTATGTATATGTTCTGGTAAAATCCGATCTTAGGTCAAACTAGTTTTGCCCAGGCTAAACTTGTTCTACCTAATGCGATGTCCAACCGAAACCAAATCTTGTGGACTGCGTAGCTTCAGTTGGACTGATGATAAGAGTTACAAAAATAGTTTATTCTAAGATCGGGTTTGGCCGGTAGCTTACAGGTATATACATGTCCGCTCATTTACTACAATAATGTCATAACTCAAAAAATCAAAACTCGAGAAAGACGGCTTTAAAGTTTTGAATTTACATATATGCCGATACTAAAAATGAATACATATTTTATTCTAGTGAGATTCTGGTAAAGGCCTGTATGCAGCTCTCAGGAAAAGCAAAAACTCCATATAAAATGACGTACAAGAAATGGCTAAGAAATTTTCTTGAGTCGAATTTCCTTAAGGCAGTACGCAGTTCTTAAGAAATTTACTACGCTTTCTACTACGGTTTTCTAAAGTTTTTTGTGAAGAAAGAGCATAAGGCAACCCAGTTTTGCAACAGAAATATATGCCCGTTCCATTAT